ATGCAAATGAGCCCCGCCTCCACTCACTCACAGCAGCTCAGAGATCCACCCATTGACGATCACACGTTGACCTGATTGTGACGTCAGAAACACCAGCGATTTCAAACCGTGTTTTTGAGGCAGTCTTTGATTCACTGCAGTTTCTAAAGAGAAAATACTCAGCAATGCTGTTGACATGAATTTACACATGGTTTGTCTTAAAAACATAGACATATAAACAACATTAAAAGCATGATTTTCACCACAGGGGGGACTTTAACTGATATGATTTTGCTGATGTTTATTATAGTGTCAAACTGATTATTTTACTAACCTCTGTGCAATGCATTTTTGCGATTTTCTGCATTTAATATGCTGCCTATATGTTGCCTAGCTAGACCTTGTTTTATAGCATCATAGGCACACCATTGACACAAAGGTGGCAATATTATGCTGCCTACTAAGATGCTATTTGGACACAATTCTGAGGCATTGCATGTATCAGATAAGGCAGAATGCACTGCAACAATCTCAGTATAAACAATAATCAAAGATAAAAGAGTTGAGAGAAATATCAACTTATACATACACTATTGTTCAAATGTTTGTTTGTTTAACTTTTTGTGTGTGTGTGTGTGTGTGTGTAATTAGCTTAGCAACATTCCAGACACTATTATAATTAAATATTTGTCAAGTTGCTGCATATGAAAATGTTCCAAATCTGTCACCTAATTGTTTCATTTGTGATTTCTTTAGTTATTGTTTGAAGTGAATCAATTGCTGTTTCCCCTCTGTTTTCTTTTCAACAGATTTCTCTCCAAAAAGGTCAACTACCAGCTGACCATTGAGAAGCCAATCATCTATGATGGAAGCGACTTCCCTTAAAAGTGACTGTGGTGTGTGGCGTCCTCGTGTGAACTGTTAGCGTTTTATTTGTATCCTTAATCATTTCAGACATGTTCCTGTGTGCCAAGGGTTTCTGTTTTGAGTTGTATGGGTTAGTATAGTATAAGTTTTTATGTTTTACCGCTGATAGCACAGAGGATATCTGTTGTGACCTGTGTTAAGTGTTATGGGCGGGTTTCAAAAGCACATGTACTCATTTGGAAGAGGATTATTTGCTGGTGATGTGGCTTTTTTGTGTTTTATTTTACTTGTGCATTCAGTATTTTAAAATGATTTTACAAACACTACAGATGAATTCAAAGCATCAGTGATACCGTGAGTTTAAGCACACATGGGTAAACATGCAAAGAGAATAATAACTCAAAAATTCAGCTTTAAAAATGGCCAATTCAGACAAGTTATTTTTATTTCTTGCTGCTTATTAATGCAATGTGAGAATTTCTCCTTTTTTTTGGGATATAAGACTTAGAGGTATCCAAAAATGGCTGCTGTTTGCAAAGATATCACAGCATTTCCACTACAGATGTCCAACACATGGTACTATATGCTCTTGAGTTTTCCAAGTACACACAAAAATGTTGTCGTATTTTTTCTTTAGCAAGTCTCTTTATAACAATTTGAAACAATTATTAGAATTTCATACAGGGTGAAACTGTATGGTTCAAGAAAAAAGCAATAAGCATGTCTAGCTAACAGGCTTTTTTTTACTCAAAGCTGGATAATATAAGATGTTGTGTCATGACAGAGCCCTTTAAAAGTATATCAGTTTCACTTCATTTTGTAGACCCCACCAACTAGGTCAAATTGTCACTGGTATGACAGCAATTGAACTATTTACTATAAAAAATACCATAAGTTATATATGCACATTGCATACAAGTACATGCAAATATGGCACTTTTTTATTAGTCAACTCTATGCAGTAATTTTGCTTAGAATACATTGAATGGAATGGGACATACTTTGTACTAATTTAGCACTAGCACAGAGTATATTTTTGCAAATATAAGGCTCTATAATTAGATTTTTGAATCTAATATATTGGTTCACTGATACTCACGTGGTTTTTGACATGTTCAATATTAATGCCTCCTTTCTTTTTACTGTAATATGTATTTCTGAATCATTATCCTGGTATGTCATCAAACATTAGTAATATGAACACTAAGTGTGTTAAATGTGCATTTAATGAACTGTCTCGCTTTTTAAAATGACTTTGAAAGCAAATATGCAAGACAAACACATTTATTCAGGTGTAAGGTTCACGTATAATTATCCTGGTGACAAAGCTAAATAGACTGCTGCTTTTAAGAAGATTTGTTTATATATTTATATTACATCTCAAGCTCCTTTTTGAACTATGTGCAATTCTAAATATTTTCTTAATAGGTCTTGTTGTTTTACAAGAGTAATGGTATTTTAAATAAATGGATTATTTTGAAGTACTTTTTAAAAGCCGTTGTTCAGGAAATTGTGAATAATTCATAAATGTCACTGATTTTAATTATGGTATTTGTGAATCTATGCAATCACTGTGCAAAGTTTACAATTTGCAGAACTATTCAAATGTAATAAAAGTTTTATCAGTTCAGCACCAGTGCAAAAGTTTTTGTATAACACATGCATTTGTACAGTCGACACAGCGACACCAGCAGGTAAAGTTACAGCGGGAGTCCGCATTTCTCTTGCCTCCCCTGAGCCCATTGACTTTTAACAGACCCCCTAGCGTATGCTGGGTTTAGTGGGGGGTAATTGAGAATGAATGTGGAAATGTCACGTGAGAGGAGGCAGTTCCTCCATCACGCTAGGACTGGATATGATGGTTTCGTGCGATAAATCCCCCCTCTTGTTTTCATTCGTTTTGTGTTCGGAAATCAGTCTGAATGAACAAAATGATGGCTAATGGGAATTCTTATTAAAAGTAAGTAAACATCTCAGCCACTTAGATACCATGCTATGTCACATCAAAATTAAACTTGAAATGGCCTGAAAATATGATGTGGTTTAGTGAGCAATCAGCTTGGGGAAATTAAAGGTACATTTTCATGTCTGTGACCTGTGTTTACCGAGCTTGACTGGAAATCCTACAATAAATTGACTGTAATAAAGAGCAGATGAGGTTCAATTTACAAAAAATAAAAAAATTGTCATGAACATGAAGTGTTACACTGACATGAATTTACATTTGCTTTATTAACAATAAACGAAAACGGAGGACTTTCCTCCTCATTTCAGAGCACCACTGAATGCCACTGTGTGGTGTGTGACCCATTCTTCTGCTAGTAACTTGGTGGTTGACATGACATTGGTTGACCTTTATGTAGAATAAAACAGTTTTTTCTGGAAGAGAGATATGACTTCATCTCATGTAAGTGTACTAACTGTAGGCTACACTAATACATTTTTAAAGCTACACTACTTTTTTTCAGATTTAAATAATGAGTCAATACATCACTCCTTCCCACGTTTTTGTCTTACCCTGATTTCTGGTAAGCCTATTTTAAGTATTGAGAGTGAGGAGTCACGTGCCGATTTGGGCGGGGTCTGAGCCGGTCGGCCATGATGGTAGGATACGCTATCGGTTGCCAGGTGCAACGCCTTCAGAACTTCACAGAGGCGCGAAACTAAATCATTCCAGAAATAGCGAAAGAGAGACAGCGCAGCTTAGTATTTGTTTACATTTTACCGATACGCCGCAGTTTCTTTGGAAGATATGGAGAAGGAAGAGAAATGAAAGGGGTTCTATCGGGAGAGACTAAATAACAATGCTAGCCAGCTTAGAGAAACTGCTTGTCAATAAACTGACAGCAGCAACAGCGAGCAAAGCCTGCTTTCAAAAGCAACACATTTCAGCACAGTTCGCCTTTTATTTAACACAAACGAACGAAATTAATACTCTGTTATTCATCTAGAGTTGTTTCATTTGTTATAGATATATCTGTACCACGAAATGTTTTAAAAAGACACTTTTTTTAATGACGTACGACTCGCATTGACAGGGGAATGTCCGATCTGTTCGCTTAACGTTGCACGGCAGGTGCAAATGCACGTATCTGATTCATATCAGATTTATTTCCACATATGAATGAGGCCTGAAACATCAAGTATGACTGAACTCTCGCAGTTTAACGTTACAGGTTTGGGGGTTTCTAAGTCTTGCACCCAGCCGCAGCAGACTTGTTAAGCTTCTAATGACTTAAAGCTTCTGAACTCTTGCATTGTGTAGGCAGTAACGTTAGTCATTGATACTAAACAAACCAGGTAATTAACTATGTCAGCGTATGTGAAAGGTGGCAGTGCTTTGGGTCTTTCGTCCATTCTGTAGCAGGTCGTACGGGTCCATGTTGATGTCAAGTAGTTTCTCTAAATAATGCTGCTTGGTGTTGTTATTTAGTCTCTCCCGATAGAGCCTCTTTCCTTTTGCTTCCCCCTTCTTCATTTATTCCCAAGAAACTGTGCCTTATCGCAAAAATGCAAACAAATATCAAGCTGCTCTCTCTCTCTGTCGCTATTTCTCTCGGTCTCACGGTCGAAGTAACCATGACAACGGATAGCGTATCCTACCAAGATGGTGAATCCTTCCCACAATGCAATACGCGTGACGTCACCTTCTCATTCTCAATATAAGACCCGAAAGACCTGTCGGGATGGTTTTCGCGGGAAATTGCTGAACACAGTCATGCAGAGCCGAAGCACAACCAAAACGTTTTGTTTTTTAACCGAGGCCAAAAGTTACATAGTGTGCCTTTAATTGCCAGAAAAATACATATAAGTATTTTCAAAAAGTGCATTTACACAAATACATAGATTAAATGGATGCTGCAGTGCAACTAAAATGAAATTATCTCCACAAGCGAGTCTGCACATGCACATTAAGCAGTTCTATATATTTGAAACAAACGCTAGTGTTTGAAGAATATCAATACAGTAGGCGAATTCAAAAACAGGTTAATTGGTTTGAGGAAAGTAAACTGAGCTGTATTGTTACAATTACCTGCAGTAGAGACGGGAAGGTTTTCACGGCGCCCGTGCAGTCCTATGAATGAATGATGTACGCTCCTCTCCTCTCCTCTCCTCTCCTCTCCTCTCTCACTCTCTCTCTCTTCCCATTGGCCAGACTCGGTCTATAAAGCATTTGATTCAACTACAGCTGTCAGCGCGCGCTGTGGACACGGCTGGAGTCATGCGTTCGTGTGTTCGTGGGATCCTGTGCTTTACATCACTAACAACTGTGAGTACAACCTAATCTATTCACCATTGTGCTTTATTAGGAAATTACACCATTGTGCTTTATTGGTGCTTTATTGGCCTACATGCAACTAATGGGATGCATTTCATTTAAAAACCCACGGCATTGTTTTTTAGCTTGCATATGTATAGGCCTACTTTTTTACATTGCACATTTGTGTTAGACGCATCTTTATAAGGAAAAACTTTCATTTGTGTAGTTTGAGGTCCAGCTAGCTAATTAAATTAATCCACGCTCTTAGGCCTATTGTGTTTTATCTGTATCTCCTGTATTAATTTAACTTGGCATTGTTTTACTCAATATTATTTTGGGCTTCGCGAGAATGTGCATTCAATTCATTGCACGTCACTGCTTTAAAGGTGGAAAAGGCGATTTTTCACATCTGGCTCACTAGACTCCGTGAAAAAGAGTCGGGGTCAATTAAAACACCTGGACAAGCATAAATAATCTTTTTACCTACCAATCATTTTATATATTTTATTTGATTATATTTTATATATAGGCTACAGGGCCTGATATAGGCCTTTATATCCTATAAATTGTTTGAGAATATGATCTTAATATATAGTAATTTTTAATTGTTGTGTGAATTAAATAGAGCTCTGTCATGAGGCTCGCGCTATGTTAAATAATAAAGCGTCTCGTTGGTAGCATAGGCTACTGCGTATAACATTTTGCGTATGCAAAAATGTAGGCGAAACATCCCAGTTTCCAGTGCAGCACACTTTTTATTATATACTGCACATTTTAGTTAACCTAATTAATTTAATGTTTTGATGTAGTAAAACACCCACAGATGTAGCAGAAAAAGTCATGTTTGCATTGTGTTGTCACTGACTATAATTCTAACCTTGAAATAAGACAGGCAATAAATAACGTCATGCGAAAAACGGCTGAGAATTGAACAGAGAGTTGTTACCTGACCTTTGTGGCTGTTATTCTGGTAATTAAAGGATAATACAAGACTTCTTACAAATGGTTGTCGAAAGCAAAAAGCTGAAATGCACGTTGTGAGAAAGTAAAGTGCTGGAGCAAAACAGACACTATTTTTAAAATCAGAACCTCAAAAATAAGAAACAAGTCTTGGATTTTATTTAGCAATGGAGTAGGGAGATGTAATCAGTTCTTACAAAGTATCATTGTTAAGTGTGTTTTTGAGGTGCTTATAATGACCAGAACATGCTTCCTTGTTTCCCACCGCTGACAACTAATGTTCTTCCACCGTCAGCCATCTCTGTAGCCACTCTAAACTCCAGCACTGATGGAAAACAGAAATTGCAACACTTCTGATGTCAAGGTTGTATGAGGTCGAGATGAGTGTGCAATTTGCTGTATCTAAGAAAGAGAAAAAAACACTTTTGTGGAGTGTTAAATTCTCCTTTGTCAATGTGGATTCGAGAGCAAGTGAAAATGACTTCAGATACAGATATAGGCCTATTTGGACAACTGTCTAATTTTACCTAATAACTCTCTCTCAAAGAAGGTTGTCAGCTCATCTTTCTGTGTGTTGGAGATTTTGGCTCCTTTTTGTTTCAAAATGACTTTTAGTTTTTAAACCCTGCATTGTGTCCCCTGTAGCTGGTGAAAATGCAGGTATGAGGATTTTGTCTCAGAATGAAAAGAAGGCTTCAAAATGATCTCGGCGTCAAAAATAAGTGCGCGCTCAACTTTCCTCTGGCGCGATTGTTTGTGCACTTGTGTGCCCATTTCTTTGGCAACTGCACCAAAACCCGTCTATACGAAGTAAACGTGGATGCAAAAGTGCCATCTGCCAGCTGAACTTGGGGGGACCCTTCTTGGAAACAGGGCAGTTAATGGATTTGTGTGCTATCCTGTAGAATGGAGATTAATGTTCTCCACGGAGGATGAGCAGTATAATGGTCTCTCTGTAAGCGAGACCGGTGGTTTGATATGGCGCAGGTGTTCATTTAAGTGCCCATACGAATAAGCATGTTCTTCGCAGAAGTACATTAACATTTCAGCCCTTTGGAATTCATCAATGGAATCAGTGGTTCGGTTGGCGTGTCGTTTTTAGATTAGTTGTTGCATTCATAATACAAGGTTTGGTTCAATATATATTTCAAAAAATAACTGTGCAGACTAAAGCAAGGGTCAGGAAGTGTTTTTTATTCTGCGAGGATGCATTGAATTCGGCATGAAACGGAAGTTGCAATTAGTCTTTTCTTCTTTATTGTGATGTACACTCACCTAAAGGATTATTAGGAACACCATACTAATACTGTGTTTGACCCCCTTTCGCCTTCAGAACTGCCTTAATTCTACGTGGCATTGATTCAACAAGGTGCTGAAAGCATTCTTTAGAAATGTTGCCCCATATTGATAGGATAGCATCTTGCAGTTGATGGAGATTTGTGGGATGCACATCCAGGGCACGAAGCTCCCGTTCCACCACATCCCAAAGATGCTCTATTGGGTTGAGATCTGGTGACTGTGGGGGCCATTTTAGTACAGTGAACTCATTGTCATGTTCAAGAAACCAATTTGAAATGATTCGAGCTTTGTGACATGGTGCATTATCCTGCTGGAAGTAGCCATCAGAGGATGGGTACATGGTGGCCATAAAGGGATGGACATGGTCAGAAACAATGCTCAGGTAGGCCGTGGCATTTAAACGATGCCTATTTGGCACTAAGGGGCCTAAAGTGTGCCAAGAAAACATCCCCCACACCATTACACCACCACCACCAGCCTGCACAGTGGTAACAAGGCATGATGGATCCATGTTTTCATTCTGTTTACGCCAAATTCTGACTCTACCATCTGAATGTCTCAACAGAAATCGAGTCTCATCAGACCAGGCAACATTTTTCCAGTCTTCAACTGTCCAATTTTGGTGAGCTCTTGCAAATTGTAGCCTCTTTTTCCTATTTGTAGTGGAGATGAGTGGTGCCCGGTGGGGTCTACTGCTGTTGTAGCCCATCCGCCTCAAGGTTGTGCGTGTTGTGGCTTCACAAATGCTTTGCTGCATACCTCGGTTGTAACAAGTGGTTATTTCAGTCAAAGTTGCTCTTCTATCAGCTTGAATCAGTCAGCCCATTCTCCTCTGACCTCTAGCATCAACAAGGCATTTTCGCCCACAGGACTGCCGCATACTGGATGTTTTTCCCTTTTCACACCATTCTTTGTAAACCCTAGAAATGGTTGTGCGTGAAAATCCCAGTAACTGAGCAGATTGTGAAATACTCAGACCGGCCCGTCTGACACCGACAACCATGCCACGCTCAAAATTGCTTAAATCACCTTTCTTTCCCATTCTGACATTCAGTTTGGAGTTCAGGAGATTGTCTTGACCAGCACCACACCCCTAAATGCATTGAAACCACTGCCATGTGATTCGTTGATTAGATAATTGCATTAATAAGAAACTGAACAGGTATTCCTAATAATCCTTTAGGTGAGTGTATATCCAAGTGAAACGGCCTTTTGAACAAGAGAAAATGTGCGGCGGGGCTTGATTTTGTCCATGGGGAATTGATTGGATGGCTGTGGTTTGCTATTGCTGTGATGTCATGTGAGTGACAGGTTGCCCCGCCCTCACTCCAGTAATCACGTCTTTAAAGCAGAGAAGAGATCTTTATTAATCAAAGAATCCTGAAAAAAATGCATCACGATTTCCATCCAAATTTGAAGCAGCACCACTATTTTAATCTTTGGTAATAAGAAATGTTTCTTGAGCAGCAAATCATCACATTAGAGTGATTTCTGAAGGATCATGTGACACTGAAGACTGGAGTAATGATGCTGAAAATTCAGCTTTGATCACAGGAATAAATTAAATTTTAAAACAGATTCAAATAGAAAAGAGCTATTTTAAATCATAATAATATTTCACAATATTACTGTATTTTCTGATCAAATAAATGCAGCGTTGGTAATCATAAGATACTTCTTTTAAAAACCAACCGTAAACTGTTGAACGGAAGTGTACATTGAAGAAGGAACCACAGCAACTTTAAGCTATACTATAACCTACTTTTTTTTTTCAAAAGATGTAAAAATCTCTTCAAGTGCATAATTATTAGGTGAAAACATTTCGCTCTTGTGGACGTATGTACTAAGAATTGTTGCTGTCTACATTAGAGTACCCACAGTTAAGCAGCTCAGCATCAAAAGTACAGAAATATACAGAGAGTAAAAGCCACTAATAGTATTTAATTGCTTTATTTGAAACACATGCTTGAATAGCAGGGGAAAGAAAAGCAGGGACAGAAGATATCCACAGCTTGCAGCTCTGAAATCTACTGAGTCCAGTTGTGAGTGATGTCTTAGTAACGGCATGAATGCATTATGGACTCTTTTTGTTTCATGTCTAGAGAATCAAAATCATTACTGACAAAAGCACTGGCTCTCTTCTTTCATTTTTACACTAATCAAACCGATTGCGGCTCTGAACATGTCAGAGCGTACGGGTCAAGCTAGTAACTGCCAATATTAGATGTAAATGAGCGTGGGACATGGTGGTAGTGGTATTTCTTTTGTGTAATGACGTGCGTTTGAGACTTTATGAATGAAGAGAGGCTGAATATTTACAAATCAACACTTACTCGGAAAGATTTTATGGACCCAGAGTCAGCACTGCTTAAATCACTGCTTACACTCTTGTTATTATAAAGAAAACCATGGATCGAGGTTTGATTCATTTTGTGGTCATGCATAAATGAATACTTGGAATTTGTCCTCTGCATTTAACCCATCCAAGTTAGTGCACACACATTTATAATAGCCTATAATTGTTTCATAATTGATATAAATATAAACATGCACAAGTGGTCCACAATTAGGATTCATTTTCTTAACATGAAACACCATTTATTGTTTTTTTTTTCATTTGATTTTTTAGGTGAAATATGACCCAAACAGTTTTCATGAGATTTACCCAGTAAGTAACCTAATTCTGAGGTTGGATAATGTAACCTTGAAGCAACAACTTGAAGTAACACTCATATAAAAACACCCAGGGG